TTAACGCAAACATTTATTTATATTAAATATTATTTATTATTAACTGATATACGACATCCTTATATTTCAAACTAAATATAAACATAGAATAATAAATATTATATTATATTATTATTATAAATATTATATAATATTATTATATTTTTTTATATATTTATAGGATGAATATTTCGACGAAGATGAAGAAAACTATTACATTCCCAATGAAGTAGTCTTAGAATTTAAATGTCAAGAAGAAAAGGTACAGCAAAAAATCCAAATGCTGCGTAAAACCTTAAAGGATAACTTCGATCGTTTATATGCGCAAAAGAGCCGTTCTGTTTGTAAATAAAACATTATCAATACAATTCTAAAAGCTACACAGAATTCAATTGTATCAATTATATTGATCATGCCTTTGTTTACTTGTTTCAAGTTGTATTCTGATGTATGCTATATGCGAAAATAAATAAACAATAAAATATCTGTTATATATGAAATGAAGAAGTTTTATTGTTATTTATAATTAATAAAATCAGAAAAACGTGTTTCTAATTAGCAATTTCTGCATTCTTCATGAAATGGTTCCAAAGTACGTAAATCACGCCAGGTGGGAGGTAAGCCATTAGATACGTACTTGCTACAACGCTTACACGGTTCTAAGAATAATTTGCTGTAACTATTTAACCAAGTCTAAAAAAAAAACAATTTATACTCTGAAAGGAAAATTTTTTTTTTATTTATCGTACATACCATATAACTTTTTACTGCCAAATCGGGTAATGTAGGTGAAAAGAAGTGCAACATGGCGGAATGTGCATGATCTTGCACTTTACGAAAAACTTCATAACGAGATTCAGTCCATAGATCTTCCGGATCTAACGTTTCGTCGAAACCCTTCACAGTTATCCATTCTATAAGCACACCTTTGCACACAATGGCTGCCTTTAATACACGACTTATTGTGGCCTATAGTACATAATAAAATGTTATATAATATAGTATATAATGTATATATAGTTACATAATATATTATAGTATATAATGTAATATGATATAATATAATGTAATAAATAAACAAATTTAACAATAATTTTTATTTACTAATTATAAACATAATTTCCACTTGAATGTAAATTCGGATTTAATAGATCGTTTCTTTGTTAATGGTGCCCTGTTCAAACGGACAGACCATACTCACTTAATTTTAAAAGACAAGGTTATTGTGATATCATTAAACAAACTGGCAATATGGTTAAAAAACTAATTTTCTTCTTTTATTTAAAGAATAATATCTTTTATTGGATCATTTTGATCTACACTTGAAGAGGAAACATTTCCGAAGGATTATTATACTGTATAGAGATTTAGTTAGCATTTCATCAGGTTTTGACTAACAGTTACAACTCTAATTATTGGAACATGACACAAATTAGAGTAGATATATCTTCTTGATCTGGTTAATACGGCAATATTATATCAAAAAATGAAAAATATCAAAATACTTAGTATTATGACGATGAAGTATACTTAAAACAAAATGCTTCATCATTGCATATCGCCAACGGTCATGTGTTTAATTTATTGGATTTGCGTATCTCCATGAAACAATATAGTCCATTTCTTTAAGATAGGCCACTAAACAATAACAAATTACATATTAAAAAAAATTACTGAAATTTACATTGCTGTCCTTCCATACTGAAACTCACTACATCCTTTAATGGTTAATGATGGTTAAAATGGTTAAAATTTTTCCTAAGCGAAAGTTAAATATTAATATACATTTCATTTAATTACATTTCTAAATCACATTTCTGCAATGTGGTGAAATTACTGCTTCAGTGCAGTTGTTAGCCGGTTTATTCATTATATAAAGACTGTTAACAGTGAGTTGAGAACAAACTGAAGTATGAAATTCTTTAAATACAAGAATTTTTTCCAAGATCACTGATGATATGTATTTGGCAATACTCGAAACAGATGTATAGTCATCCAAAAAATCAATTAATGAAAATAATATTAAAATGAATCTTTGTTGTTGTAGCAATTATACAAAAAAATTAAAAACATTAAAAAAATTAAACATTAAAAAAAAAATAATGTTTATTCACAAGTAAAATCTTAGATGCCAAAGGAGTAAAATGAGATTTACGATAACTTCTTGGTTTTGGCAGAATTAAATTTCATAGTTTTAAGAGATAAATTGGGAAGCAAAATAATATTTTGTTTTACATGTCACTACCAATGTTATCTATATTTGATCCAGTATTATTTAAATATTCGATATATTAGTATAAAACGGATTTTACTTCTATGCAATTTTTAGTTTAAATGATTATAAGTTATAGTATGTAAAACTGTTTTTCAAAATTTTACGCTTTTAATAGCGTAAATATTTATAGCTAAAATATTTAACTTACAATTACAACAGCATTTGAACCAAATGGTCGGCATATTTTGTAAGTAGTGTGAAGATGATTTATCTCACTGAACAATTTATCGGTATGCCTAAGTAAACCAATAAGTAACTTATTTGTAATCAGATTAGGAATAATAACAACATATAAACTTACTCTGGATCTGAATTATTGAATGCTGAAAATACTCGTACACGTTTTTGGGAGCAGTATATGTATGAACGTCGTAAGTTATTTTGATTTAAAGTATTACAAGCTAAGAAGCTATAATCATGCACCTGAAAACAATTAACATTATAAGTTAAAGCTTTTTGTAAATATATACAAATATCAGAAAACCTTATCAATCCATTTGTAACTATTTACGAGCTGTGGATATAAAGCCTGCCGTTCTTGTGTAGTTTCTTGTGCCAAATACGTTGTGTTTCCCAGATGATATGGATTTGGCGGTGTTTGTAAACCATTAATTGAAGTTTCAACCTCTCTATTAAGTTTAATTGGATTTTATTACATATTTAATGTTATAATATATTTTTGAACCTTAGCTGTGTGTTGATATTATTAAAATTTTCTTGAAATTCGTTTAGAAATTTTTGACGTGTTTCCTCAGTTACGTCCGCATCAAATAAATTCTCAAAACATTGCAACACATTAGAGCGCAATCCTTTAACCGCACTAAGTGTACTTTGCAATTTCTCCATTATTTCTACTGCTTTTCTAAATATCCTAACACCGCATTTAGAATAATTTCACTAAATTTGATTTTATAAACAAAACCTAGTCTAGTCGGCTACATTAAGAAATTTGATGTTGGTAACATTGAACGGTAAAAATGACTTTTAACAAAGAATATGTAAAGCAAAGGAAGATTTTTTCATTTTGAAAATGTAAAGTTCGAGGAAGTTCGAGGAAATTGAAATTTGCTAGGAATTTTTTGCACTGCATTTATTTACACTTATTTATTATTTTTCTGTTAAAAGTTTTAAAATTTATTTATTTATTTATTAAACATTTTATAAAATTTTCATAATGGTAATACCTAATTTTCATATAATTATATTTCATTTAATTCGAATAGGGTAAATACGAAATTCGGGTAAATACCCACATTCGCAACCATTCCGACATCATTTACTATTTTTCTCAATTTACTCGAACTCGCCCACAGCCTAAAGATGCATTCACACCAAAGTGAACGCTTGCGAACGAATAATTATTCGTAGAAAAACGTACCTGCAAAAGTTCGTTTGATCGCAAGCGTGTTTTGGTGTGGATGCACCTTTATATGAAAGTAGAACTTATCTATACAAACTTAATATAAGCTTTATAATTTTGGTGTGGATGCACCTTTACATGAAAGTAGAATTTATCAATACAAGTTTAATACATATAAGCTTTATAATATTATGTTCATATATATATGTATTTCTAAAATTGATTGATTTTAAGATAAGATAAACATCTTATTTTTATTATGTTTATTTTTAATTTTTAACGGTTTTTTCAATATTTTAGATGCAGATTTTCATGAGAATTATCTGGAGGCGATGTCATCATCTCCTATGTTGAAATGGAGTTGGTAACATTATCAAATTGTTGCCGGAATTTAAATGCATTCGTACACGAATCAAATGTTTGTGCTGTTGATGTTGGTCGAAAGAAAGGACAGTGCAGAGGTGATTCAGGCGGACCCTTACTGCGTGACCATAATATACAAATTTTCAGGTATCACTGAGAAATTGATAGTTTATTATAGACCAAAAGTACCCGATCACCTGCAAAAGAGATTTCTACTTAGAACAAAAGCTATTGGTAGGACGTATTTTAATATGGCATCCATTTAAGTAAAATTATTATTAAACACTTTTTTAAGTACATTTAAATTTATAAGTACATACCAACTGTGGACTTGCCAACGGCAAATAATTCACACACTACTCTGCATTCCCTAGAAGATTCTAACGTACATAAAGCAATTGCGATTCTTTTGTCAAGAGGAAGCACTTTACGCCAAATAATGTCTTATTTTTGTTAAGATTTTAACTGTTCAGACAGAACTGAAAAGCTTTTTTGAGGTATGTAGGATGATATATTTACAAATTTCTAAAATGGTCTTGGTACAGATGACGTTGTTCCAAGTAGTATAGCTTTATAGCAGCCTTCCACATGTTGAGTTAAAGTAGGAATGTTTTGTTTCTTCAATTGTAATTGCCTAAGATGCTACTTATTATTTTGGAGTAGCTTGACGATTTTAAGAAACATATTTTAATAAGAATTTCATATTTTTTTATTTATTTCTATTTTATGTTATTTCAAAAATCAAATTTCAATATCAAATTTTAAAATATCCTAGATACAAATAGTGTTTTGAGCATGTAATTCGATTTGTAATCAAAAAACATATGATTTAATTAATTTGGGGCAGTATGAACACTTACGAAATGTCTGAACATAGCATAAGTTATAGTTATGGTTATTTAGACAGCCAAATGTAATTAAAAATTACATGCTAAAAACACCACTCGTGTGTGCGAAAATAATAACTATAAAGAATGGTATTCAGTAGTTTTATTAGATTTAATGGATTTCAGGTATGTGGATTATTTTTTTTTACTCTTTTTTAAATTAGTAATAATTACAATTTTTTCTCTATATTCAAATTTAAAAATTTGCACTACTTTTAAAATATTTTTCCGTTTTTATTAAAGTCAACTGTTTTTAAAAATAAATGTCATATATTCGTTATCTCAACTTATCTTTGGTTCAAAATTTATCTCTCGCATAGTTGCATTAGAAATTTCGCTTAATTTCAGGCTTTGTTTCAATCAAATTAAGGCCATTTCCTTTAATATCGTCCTAACCTTAAAACTGAATTTTGTAAGGAGGAAACAACTTAATTTCGGTAAAACGAAGATGAAATTAAGATTTTTGTGACATTAAGGTCTGTCTGAACATAGTATTACTAGAATACTATGTTCACAATAGAACAACAATAATTGCAAAGAATATTATTCATTTTCGACATATTAACTTTAAATTTTATTACGTGTTTTGCACATATAAATCTAACAAAATCTCCATATTGTCCAGAGTTGCCATCGAAAGTAGTGCTTATTTTATTTGTTCTTTTGCGACATGCTTATAAAAGAAAAGGTCTAATATTAAATTCAAGAACACAAGATATAAATTTTCTACACAAATTAATATTCAATTATATTGCATATAATTAGATCTTACATAACTTTCCGAACAAATCATGGAAAAGAGTAGAATTTCTATGCAAAAAATGACGCATACTGAAGAATGGAGACATTTTGACAACACATATAATGAAAATGCAAACAAATGCAAATAAGAGAGACAACAACACTTGCAGTTTTTGGCAGACAAAAAAAAAATATACAACAAATCGAGCCGATAAAAAATTTCATTAAAATATTACAAGTGTAATAGGAAACTGCACTTTGCGTAGTTCGCGCAAACATAAATATAAACAAATAAAAAAAGTGCGGGAAAATATGTTAGCAAGAATTGAAATTTAATATTTCTGCAAAAAAGCAATAAATATTAATATATAAGATTGTCGTGGCAATTAACCCTAAGTGTAAATTTTTATTGTCTATAATATATATATAGATATATATATATATAAAGGTATACGCAAAATTAACAAAAACGATAAAGAAAAACTATTAAAACTGTAAGTACAATAAGAATATCATTTTTAACATATAATTATATATATATGTATAAAAAAAATAAATTTTAATTCCGCATTTTGAAAAGTGAGAAAAGTCGCAAAAATAAGTCCTTGAAAATCATTATTTACCTGTTTCATGTCCTATTTTTATGCGATATTATGACTGCTTAAGGTTTAATAAATTAAATTTTTATTTTAGGAATATTCAATAAATAAAATTATTCTTAAAGTCATTAATAATGTCTTGCCGCCAAATTTCTTTTATTAAAATATGTGTAGTTGCTGCATACATTAGTAAATGATGAAATTACTTATGACGAATAATAGCCGCAATATAATTAAAGAGAACTTTAGTAATTTTCTTAATATAATTAATATAATTTTAGTATATTTATTAGTTAATATTATTTTTGTATGCACGTACAAGGGTATTTAAAATATTTAATTACATTATGATTATTATAATAAGCCTTGACGCAGCACGACCCCAAAGCTTTATTTGTGTGGCTGAATTACTTTTTTAAAATTTATTAAAATTAAAAAAATCTAAAGTATAAATTTAAATTTGAAAGAAATTCAATATATATAGAAAAATTTTATATTTTTACTTTACATAATTTAATAAAATTAATAATGTCTTTGATATTTATCATATCATAGCTTAGCGATTTTTTGCTTAACATATTTTAGGTAGATTCTGTTAAATTAATGCGACGTTTATATATTAATGTCATGATATCTTGAAATTATATGTTTTTAGTAAAAAATTCAAATTTTTTGACATAATATAGATAACAGTTACCCTCGAACTTTAAACCGTAAATTTTTATACACAGACCGTCATAGTTTTTTGGTTGTTTTTAATGACGGTACAATTTCAGATAGATAAATCTACAATAACCCTGTGCACCACAGCTTTTTATAATTTTTATATAAATTACTAAACCGTAAAGCTAATCTTTTTTATAATTATCGACATAAAATAGATTTTCAATGTTTATATAAATTATTTAGAGGTAAACGTAATCTATTTTAAATGATCAATATAAAATAGATTATAATAAATATATTTACCCACAAGTGTTAGCGAACTTACAACTACTTTAGACTTAGATTTAGATTTATAAGAAGTAAGAAAATGTTTCTAAAACAATGAATGGCCTGTAGACTGCAAAAGAAGTATTGGTTTCTATATGCAATGATTTTAAAAAATATATCAAATTTAAAAAAAAATTACTTCTTATAATTTATTCACATTGTATGAAAAGATATTGCAAAATATGAAATATGTATATATTTAAATATATATAAATATGTTTAATTTTATTTATTTACATGAAATCTTTATTTTTAATTTCTTTGAATTGATTAATTTAATTTTTGTGTTTAATTTTTAGGTGCAAAACGTACGCTATATGTAAAATAGCACATTGAATTTTTTAAACATATTTTTATTTAAAACTGTAAGTAATAATATAAGTATAAAAATTTTTTAATTTAGTATATTATATAAAATATAATTTAAATTATAAATTAATAGACATTTTTTTGTACTTTCCTAATAAATTTAACTCGAAAGCTTTGTCCTCTTACTGAATTCCATCGTCCTTAAGATAAGTCAATATCTAAGAAAGTGTAAAATGAATATATACAATTTTATTTTTAGATTTAAAAATTTGTTTATCTATTACTTACATAAAGCATTTTGTTAAATGCATAATATAAACAATTAGCTTTGCTTAATTGCTTTTGTTTAACTATTAGAGTTTATTGAACGTACCGATTTGTTAGCACCTTGCTTAATTAGCGAAATGTTTTTATTTAGAACAATTGTGTACTATACAAATTTATTTATTTGGTTTGAAACAAGTAAATAATAATAATAACTCATTATTTGATATATACTTGTTTCAAACAAAATGCACAGATGTTCTCATTTTTATTAAAATTAATTGTGTGGTGAAAATATTGTGTTTTATAGAATTATTAAAATTTATATTCTTTTATTTGCATTCGATAAAATATTCTTAAGCTATAATTTATTTCGACAGTTTTTTTTTTCACTTAGACTTCAAACTAAATTATAATATAAAATTAAAATCACAGTGTTGTCAACGTTTTTTGTTAATTTTTTTAAATAAAAAACTTTCATTAGTAGCAAATTTTATAGCGGAAGATAGAATCTAAATTCAAGAATCTCTCAGTATTACAGTTCGATTAGAATTGTTTGTTGTGTTCTAAACTCTACCTTGTTTGGTGGAATAATTTCCGGCAAGGTACAACGAACTTCAAAATGCTTTACGGTGGCATGTTAGTTTCTGACAGGTCCCTTATGTTTCTTTCCCATGTCCGCAATAGAATCGGTTAAGCACAAAGATAAAAAATTTTTTCATATTTTCAACAAAAAAATCTTCAAGATTGGTTTCGTCTATTGTGAAATTAAATAATGAAACTCATAAAAGCATTAATTATAGCCTATATGCCTATAGATACTTTTTAGAAAACGACAATATGTTCAACTATAAGGAAGAGAATAACTATGTGATGAATTCGAAATTGAACTGGCTCATGTTATTGTTCAAAGTGAGTTATTCTTCATATTATAATATGGTGTATTAAAAACACAAACCAAACAAAGGATAACAAGGTTATACGCAAGTAAATTGATCCTAATCACACTACTGGTAGCTTGACCATTGAAAATAAATTGAGTTGCATTCACACTATTGTAAGACTTGAATCTTGAAATTGGTTTTGTGTAATCGTAAATAACACATGACATGTTGCATTAAAAAACTAAGGTATAAGTATACTCTCCTCCTTGTCTCCCCTATTAGAAATCGATATCAAGATTGAGGCTGCCGCTAGTATGAATAAATATCTGATAAACAAATTAAATTACTTTTATTTGTGGTCTGACCGTTTCAGCAAAAAAGTTCCACATCGTTGCTTGCTGAAATACGGTTTATACCCATATATAATATATAATAGACTAATTCTTGACGTGGAAATTTGCAAAGATACATATCGCATGAATATAAAATTTAATTTCGGAAAAATATTTAAATTCCTTAATTACGATCTTATGATAGGGTAGAATAATATTTTGTTTTTTTTTTCATATAATCTCTCAAACATCGAGTAATTCATTAACATAATTATGAGAACCGAAGTTCTATTGTCAAATAAGTTTATCTATAATAGACTTTAATTCTGCTGCGCTTTCTATCAGCAAAACAAAATATGAGTGAGTACGGTTGCAAGAAACTGCCGGGTGTATGTCCCGGAGCCACTCGTTGAGTTCGATGTGCAAGCACCCTATGACCTACAACAACAATAACTTGAGTGAGTAGTGATTTACTTAGTGGGTTTACTGTTCAATATAATTGTCGTAATGTAGGTAATAAAATGCCGTTTTTGTCAGAAATTTAGAGTTCGAAATGAAGGATAGTGTATGATTATCAAGCTTTACTTTAAATAAGGAAGAGAATATTAGAAAAATAGCACTTCACTACATCACATTATCTGTAAAGAACCTTTTACCAGTCAGAAAATATTAGTTATAAGTAGATCAAGTATACATTTTTGCTTTATTATTATAATTTTCCTAGTTAGTATCACTGATTTTTTATAAAAGCATAGACCGGAATCCTAGTTTTATAGTTAAAATTAATACTAACATTTTTAACAGTTTTCGACCATGGATAATGCTTATTTTCTTTTAAAAATTTTTCTTAAATATAATATTTATATAATATGATATTGTTTTTAATAGTTGACTTTAAATTTTTTTTTTAATTTTTTCGATATGTTATGCGTCTTCATTAATAAAAATGTTCAAATTTGTGTAATATTTTGTAAAATAAAAATATAAACTTGTTATTCTAATAATATATTTTTTATGCAATTTTTCAAATTAATATAGTAGTATAAAGAAATACTATGTAATTTTACTTCATCAGTTTACTTCATCACACTCGTCGCTAGATCCCATCTACATCTGCAATCATTCAATGTTGGAGAGTTCTCAATTCCTGCTAGAAATAGTCATTAGAAATGTGTTCGCATTCAGTTGTTCAGTTGTTCTTGCAATTCGGAAGAGAATTGAGCGCCGCCGGTAGGAAAGACTACGTAGTCGAAATATACAGATATAAAATAAAATATTTCTGAAAACAAAATGAAAGCGTCTCGTTCGTATGTGCTTTCTTGTCTTTATAGTGAAATACGTCGAAGATTTATTTTTAGAACATTCAAATAAATTTAAGATGTATTTTAATTAATTAAATTTTTTCCAATATTAATGATAGTTCATTAAATAAAAAAATAAAATCGTATAATGAAAATAAAAAATTGCATTTTAAGAATATAAATTCATTATATAAGTTAAAATCAAATTTAAAATATTAAATTTTAAAAAAATATGAATTTAATCGAACAAACGAACAATTAAAAATGTCGAAAACGCAGAGTCCCTCATCTTCTTTACGCAGTAATCAGCCCCGTAGGCAGGTGAAGCGTTGCTGTCGTAATTTTTTTACGTTTATGTGCACCCAAGTTGGTGTTGGAGCACTAATCGTACTGTACGCTATATTTGGGGCGGTATCGTTCATGAACATCGAACGTGAATATGTGGATAAGACAGCATCCGAAGTGGTTGCCTTAAGGCATAACTGCTCAGTGGAGTTATGGCACATAACTGAAGAACTTAATACATTCGATAGATTTAAGTGGCAAAAGGAAGCAGAAGCAGTATTAAAAGAGTACCAAACACAAATTGCTGCAATGATTAAAAATGGTTACGGCGGAAGAACACCACAACAGATTTGGTCCTTCCCAGCAGCACTTATGTTTTGTTTGTCAGTTATTACTATGATTGGTTATGGAAATATGGTGCCACGTACGCCTTGGGGAAAGGGCTTTACAGTTATATATTCCACTTTTGGCATACCACTTTATATATTGTATTTTTTAAATATGGGAAAAGTATTGGCGCGTTCCTTTAAATTTTTGTATCGCTCTTTGCATGAATGCACGCAAGATAACTCATCCATTGATAAACGTTTGGATGCACTAGAGTGCGGTAGTACTGGAAATGATGAACGTAAAAGGATTATTGTACCTTCAACTGCTTGTTTGTGGGTCATTATATTCTATATAATAACGGGCACAATTATGTTTGCTAATTGGGAGAAATGGTCATATCTTAATTCATTCTATTTTTGTATGACGTCATTATGTAAAATCGGTTTCGGTGATTTTGTGCCGGGTGCAAGTTTGGTAACGTCTGCAGATATTGAAGCGGCTCGGAAAAATGCTATTGAAGATGCTACAGCAGATCCAAATGAACTATTTGAATTACAACTTATGACCGATCAAAATTCAAAATTAGCAATAAATTTTCTTTACATGTTAATAGGCATGGGCCTAGTCGCAATGTGTTATAATTTAATGCGTGAGGAAGTGCGTGTGAAAGTGCATGATATGAAAGAGGACACCAAAGTTTGTCTTGAAGATACAAGAAAACGATTCGGACGTTGTTTTGATAGTAATGACTCTTATGACGATGATTACTATTAAACAAATAATTTTAGTATATAAAACATTTTTAGTGTATATAGATAGCATTGTCAATTTAAAAGATTTCATGCCACATATAATTTTTTCAATTTAATCTAATTACGTGTTTAAATTTTTACTCGTACAAATACAAAACTAAAGTTTTATTTATTATCTTAATGTGCAAAAATGAGGTTCTTATTAAAAGGATTGTTGGAGGTGCGTACTACCAGATTTAGGAGCTTTGAAAAAGTAATTTATAAATAATGGCAAATTTATTTAATTTATTGAGCTTTAAATATAAATACATTTTTATTATTAATATTTGTTATTAAATTAACCTTTTAATGTTGCAGTACTTTACAATTTAGAGATACTAATCCTATATAAACTATGTAACATAATTTAGCATAAGAGACAATTTCGTTTTATTTTAATAATTATTGAATATCATGATTCTTATTTTTTCACATTTTGTTACGATTGTAAACGTACAATATAATACCACATAGTATTTCTAATACTAAGCTATTTGTATATTATTGATACTTGATTCTTGAGATATATAGGTTTTTAAAGTTGTAAATTTTTTACTTTGATGTTATGTATATATATTTAGATTGATATTATGCGAAAACATTGAGGCAAATATATTTCTGAGTATTTCTGAGTATAAAGCACATAAGTACATTCATTTTATTCTTTTAAATTCTATCAGTACATCCACGTATGAGAACCGGTTTTATAATCATTCTGCATATCCATATCTAATTTACTTTGGATAGTAATTTAAAGTTAATAAGTTGTAAATGGGTAAAATATCTATTGCTTTAAAGTTTTTTTTATTAACATGGCTTTCTTGTTGGGTTCGACCCATATAATTTTTTTTTTTCTTCATTTATATTTTTGATGTTTTCTTCAAATTACTAAAAACGTCTCGTACGTGTTTATGTTAATTTATAGAACATTATGGTAAAAAAGTTTACTTAACCAATTGCTGCAAATATTAAGTTACATATAAGAGTTAAATGGGTAATCTTAAAATCATGTGATAGTTGAGCATTTACGCTCATTAAATGCTTAAAAAATATATTCCAAAAATTGGTAAGAATCTTGTCATACCATACACAAGGAATGGTTTCAATAATAACGAATTGAATAATATTGAATCGATAAATATCTAAAAATAATTCCACCTGTACTAGAGGATGCTAGGGATAAAGGACATTGTTACACACTTGATTCATTGATATAGTTAATTAGTATTTGATAATAGTACGTTAGATTGTATATGTAATGCAAAATTATTAACTTTCAATATAGAAATAAACATATTTTTCTTCTTCTCTTATTTCAAGGCAATCATTGATAATTTTTTGCAGCTACAAAACCGTGTTACAAACTTCAGTGTAATGCTTGGTGGCGGCGCTGAACGTTTATGCACGCCAAGCACTTCAGCTGGTCCATTTCGAATATTTGCAGTTGCGGGGTTTCAAAATCGTATTAATGATATAGTATATTGTCCACCAATAATACGACAACCAACCCAAAATGTAGAAGATTCGACAGCGATCATATACTTTGGTGGAGATGTACAGGTATAAAATCAAAAACTTCATTATGTAATATATTTAACTACTTTATTTTCTTAGGATTTTCCAGAGAGTATGGAAACGAACCGCGATAGTCGCGGGTATATGAAATACAATTTAGAAAATTCAGCTATACTATTGCGTGAGGCATTTCCGCTGTCACATATCATTGTCATACGCCCTGTTAGGTAGATATCTATATTATTTAAACATTTAAAAAGAATTCTTTGACGAAAATGTATTTAAATATTTATATATATTAATAATACAATGTATTTTTAAATAGAATGGAGTTTAAAACTTTTAGTTGTTTTGACAACTTTGTGCGTGGAAACAATGCTGGAGTGCCGGATCATACGCCAATGAATCATGCTCTACAACATTTAGAAAAGTAAATCTAATAAAAATATAGATCTCAATAAATTTTTAATTTTTACTAAATACCTTTTTTTAGATTATTACAAAATCTATCTCAACGCCTTATATCTATACCAGAGAGCGAAATTATGGATCAGGCCGCACAAGCAGCTGCTGCTGCAGCAGCAGTTGCAACAGCACTTTCATCAAATCTGTCAACTGTTACAACTGATTCATCATCATCTTCATCGATATCAAATGATAATAATCAGGAAATGGATATTGATATATTGCAAGTTCAAGAAAATATTAGTGTTGATGGAGAAAATGCTGTGTTATTTCCCAACATAGCAGGTGCTGCAGATATCTCTAAGTCAACTGATGAAACACCAACAACTAATAGTAATGCATCTAATGCAGAAAATATATCTGTTTCAAATGTAACTGCAACAAAACAACATCCAACTACAGCGCAACAAAATAATGTTCAGCACTTAAATAATAGTAACAATTGCACTCTTCAAATTCAACAACAAAATCGTTCAAATAATAATCCATTGTGGTGGCGCGAAAATCTCAATTTAGATAAATCCAAATTAGTTCTGATTGGATTTAGCAAGGGTTGCGTTGTCCTCAACCAAGTGAGTCAAATTTAGTGTAAAAATCGTTACATTTTATATATTTAATAAGACACACTTATTGATTTTACATAGAGCTCAGTAGTGATATATTTATATGCCCTTATAAGTTTGTATTATTTATGTAGATTAGATAATTGAGGACTTCTGTTAACTAAAGTAAACCAAGGTTAGGTTATGCTGGCAGTAAACAAAGCTAATTGGACAATTAAGAATGTGCAGTTTTATCCACGTTAGCAAAAAAAGAAATAAAAATCTTTCCATTTTTAAATTTTTATTCATATACATATCAGTTTGCGGATAGGGATAGAGTATGCCATCAGATAGATTATAATTCTGTAGAGCGAAGTATATACCTTTTTGTTTTGATATTTTCTAAATAGTAAACGGAACCATGACAATGACAAAGCTCCAGTTAGCAGTTAACTAGAGGTTTCGACACTAAAATATACAAATTCAGATTAGTGTCTATTATTTGTAGTGAATAAAACATCTATAATATGTAACTACATCGTCCCAGTTTTTTCTATCAAATAATGACTGTCACTATTTGATAGGAACATCGTCCCTATCAGACGATGTTCCTGGGACGATGTAGTTACATATTATAGACGTTATAAGTTTTATAGACGTACACAATAAGTTAGTATTTAAAAAAAATATATGTCATTGTATATAATGATTTGGACTACATATAAAAGCTGAATAGTTGCATTATTTGCTAACAGTTTGAATTTTTGTTACATTTTTTTTTAGTATAGGAGTACGGATATTCTTATACTGCCTGCACTTTGACAGTTAGTATTTTTAGAGTTTTAATGTTTGCTATAGTTTATTAGTTTATTTGCAATAGTTTCGGAAATATTTCCATACTAATCATCTCTGTATTATAACGATACATATTATACATACGATACATACGATATTATTCATACTTATCACTCTATAAGAAAAAAAGCCTATAATTCACAAATCAATAATTTAGTCTCACAATTCAGTGAGTCTGAAATGTTCAGTACGTTCATTTCGGTTGAATTGTATAAGAATGCTATTGATTCCTCTGTAGAACGGTTCTCTATGTTTTACTTCCTTACAAATATATGAATTTGATATAAATATTTTACTGTAATTATTCTTAAGGAATTGTTAGACGTCCTGCTTTCATGTTGTTGTTGTAGCCTGGAGAAATTTATACTGCAGAAAACATGGAAGGAATTACAAGACACAAATACATGGGGTAAAATATGGTTTACTAGGTAGGGAAAAAAGAATAGAAAAGAGTTGCGATGGGGGACAGGAAGGTTCCCGTTTTATAGAATATTTTTTTTAGCTCAGTATAAACTGGTCAGTTTATGTTTTATTGTTAATTATAATTCAAAATAAAATGTTTAGTAATAACTAATGTCACATTTATATTAATTTATTTTAGTTCATTTATGAGTTTCATTATCTTAAAACATTAACACCCGATGACAGTACCATGATACGTTTGTTATCACGAATTAAAGACATGTATTGGCTGGATGGAGGTCATGGAGGACAAAAGAATACATGGATTACTTCGCGTAGTTTATTGGAAACTTTAACAAGAATGGGTTTGTAAACAAAAATATTATTAAAAAGGATTTGCTTATCTAACTGAATTTTTTTTTAAGGTATGAATATACATGTGCATTTAACGCCGTATCAAGTACAGGACGATAGGCGACCTTGGATAAGAAAAGAAGAGAAAATATTTACTGATATGCTACGAAGGCTTGGAGCACCCATTACAAGACATTTACACTATGATAGTCAAACTGCAAATTTGATGACACATTTTGAAGTGCTACAAGCATTTTGTCAACATATACACCATCAGCAACAGCAGCAACAGTCTCAAACTACATCACAAACTGCGCAAACAAATAATACACAGAATAATGATCAACTTACACCACCACAAGTAAATAATGCAATTAAGGTGACAGCTGAAAATACAGCTGAGGAGAAGTGACATTATCGTCGACGTAATTATCATTATTTGCGCAAAACAACAATTAATAAACAAAGACAACACATGCTTACTGGTGTTGCAACTTCATCATTTGTAAATATACATAACTATAGACAACATCAACTTCATAATCAGCATCATCACAATCATCAGCGCCAACGTCATTTGCACCAGCATCACCATCAACACAAATCTAAGTCCAAACGTAAGCTACAAAAGCTATATTATTCGTTTAAGCTTTAGGTTAAAACTGTGCTGTTTTTTGCCCTTAAAAAGAAGAGTAGTTTTTTAAATGAATATCATTAATATAAACTTCATGATTATCATGAATATAAACTTCATGATTATCATGAACATAATTTTAGAAGCAATAAGTTCTTCACACCTTTTATCACCAGTTTTAATAAATCTCACTTTTCAACACACAGCAAAAATAACATCCGTCATAATAATACTAAAATGGTTTAAAAGTATTAAGCAGATTTTTAGAAAGTTAATTTGTTTTAAATGAATTTTAAGTAAGCTTTCGTTAGACGCTGAATTATAGTGCATAAAATTTATGGATCAGAGGTTCATTATGATAATGCATCTGAACACTGAGCTCTCATCCTAATAATTAATAAATCAATAACATGTTATCTAATACATAGCTTAAACTCGGATAGCCATTACTTATGTACGTTTTAAATAGTAATCAAAATCACGCACAAAATAGTTTTAAATTATAGTTTTCTGTTGAATCATATTGAAGGAACGCAGTTTATATTATTATTTTATTAATATTATATGTTCAATTTGCTTTCCGAAAATTTCCAGTTTCAAATTAATCCTTCACTCAATTGACTTATAAGCAAGGTTCTTTTTAATTTTAGTTTTTAAATTCATTTAAATTTCCTTTTCTCTGTATTTGGAGTAATGAATTTCGTTTTTGAAATTTTTTTAAACTTATATTAAATTCTGTGAATTTTTCATTTCTTAAAAATTTTTATTTTATCCTCCCAGTGCAATAAAACTAGAAGTTTAATATATATAATCTGTCCATTCATGAAATTCAATTATTTATTTAATTTTTATTCAATTACTGTATTGTCATTTTAATTATATTAATATTTTTTTTATATATAAAGTATAAATATATATATTCTTACTAAATTTAAAATAATTAATCAATCATTTTTAATATATTATGTAGTTGTAAATACTGCAGGCTTATGTATTTTTGTATGAAAATGATTACTTTAAGTTGTTTTATATGTGTGTAAAATATCTGTATAAAGATTAGTAAACATACAGATACTCGTAAATTAGTAATGATTTAAGTTCATAAACAAAATCATAATGGTAATGTTTGATAAATTATATGACATAAAAATATAAATAATAGTATAATGCGAAAGTTACGCATAAAAAAAATTATGTCTGATTAATGAAATGAGCAGAACAGAATTGATATAATAATGATTATTAAATTAATTAAGTATTAATAACTTATAGGTTACTACATTTGCAGTTAAAGCGCATATTATTCTTTTTTCTCGAATTTAACAATTATAAATTTCTAGAATTGTGGTTATACCTTCAACATAAAGTGTGAGAAATGTATATTCGTATTGAGTTTATTAAGATGTTTGTTGTAACGCATATGGGAAGGCATTAGTCTATAATTTGTTAATCAGTGGTTTCGATTTAAATTTATCATTTTATGTATAAATGCTAATTGCTTAGTGTTGAACTAGACCAATCACATTTGACATATCGATTTTGATTAAAATCTTGAATATTTATCAGAACATAGTCCATACCTGAAGTATGACAGATTTACATCATTACTGGGATTTATATTTAGTTACGATTCTATCTTTAATATTACCATATTTTTTCTCATTATGTTTTTAATCTATTTTAGCTGTCAATAATTTATTAAATAAAAATTCGATTAATTAATTAATATTTTAAAATTCTAAAATGATTGTAAATGATTGATTGTATTCTAGCTAGCCGTTATTTATATATGTATATATAAAAGAGTCGTACCATCTTTTCGGCTGCCATTTCAAAAGTAACCTATTTAATTTTAAATGCCGTTTTTTAAGTTTTATTATTGGGTAACTTAAATTAAAGGAATTTAAATTAACGTTATCATTCAGATTTATTTTTATATAAAGATGTACATTTATGTTTACAATTGATAAACTTTTGCTAGCAAATTCTTCAAAACTCTACTATTTAAAATAGTTCATTAACACATGTTGAGTTCAGTATAAGTGCTTTCGTGATGAATGTAATATAATATATGTAATATAGCATGGTCTATTATACTTTAGAAGAGAAGAGATTTTAAAGATTTTATTCCAACCATTGCTTCACGCTTCGAAAGAGAACATAGTAACAGTAGATCCCTATTACTGGTAATTATGCTAAATGGGAATCAATTCATAGCGACATTAAAAAATTTACAAAATCGAGGTTATGCACCTGAACTCTTGTACATTGTCTGGATTAAAGATCCCTTCTTTCTTGGTCGAATTGGACGTTATTCATACAAAGTGTTTGCAAGAAGACTGTGCAGTAAAAACAATTAATAATTAACTTTAATGGAAAATAATCGATATGAATTAAGCACATTATTTTAATTGTTTTCTCAACTCCGGTATATAGTAATGAAACTATCTTTCATCCATGGTAACGAATTAGTACAGAAATGTAGCTATTAAGTAGTTCGGAAAGTAATTTAGTTTTTTCCCGACAGAGGATGTAATTGTATTTTGTGAAAACTTCACATTTAAGCCGTAGTTTTTGGTTGGTTCCCTTTTAAATATGGAGAGCGATAAGCAGCATTTTCGTTATATCTTACTGTTTTACTACAGAAAGGGTAAAAATGCTGTTCAAGCCAGAAAGAAATTGATCGATGTGTATGGAGAAGGTGTGTTGTCAGTACGCCAATGCCAGAACTGGTTCGCTAAATTTCGATACGGCGATTTTTTGTCGAAGATGCACCACGTTCAGGAAGGCCGGTTGAAGCTGATAAAGATACGGTAAAGATATTAGTTGATGCGAACTGGCGATCTCACGTGAGATCGGATCGAGGTTAAATTTATCAGTTTATGACCACTTGAAAGGCCTGGAATTATCCACGAAGCTCGTTTCCACATAAAAAAAAAAATAGGATAGAATTGTAGATTCTAAAAAGATTGTTTGCTTAATCGTCAACAAAATAAGACCAATATGATACATTCAGGTCAAAATTTGAAAATTTGAACGGTGTTGATCTCTTATATAGTTCATATATTTTTCAAACACATTTGTTCTATTCCTAAACCTGTAAATATGTTAAATAATCAAAAATATTTAAATGAATATTCATCTAGGGGAAGTTAAAGTTCTATAAGGCAATTCGTTTAACTTGGATCCATTTAGGTCTTAAAGACCAATGTGAATCTGTTAGAGAACTTCCTACCAGTTTACAGTAATTTGGATAATCATTTTGACACAATACTTATAAGTATGCTCAGAGGGAATGCATTAATGAAATATGATCTTCGACTAGTTTACCTCTATGAGCTTAGGAACAAAATATTGCTAATAATAAAAAATAGACATAACTATTACTTTGGTAGAAAATATTCCTATTTCTTGCTTAATATAGAATTTGTTATAAAACCAGAGTAGTATTAAAGAAAGACAGAGAAGAAGGAGACTATAATGCGAACTTCCTTACATACATTTTTTACTTAACTCTCAATGAAGCGTCTCTAAAGTCTTGAGTTTTAAATAAACTCAGTGCGTGGGCCTATGCATCACATATAACTCAGCCCTACAACAATTTATAAAACTGTTTCTAGTACTTGTTTGCAAATTTCATATGTTATTTAATGTAATTAAATTAAATGATATAATTAAATTTATTTTTGTGTTTAATCACAAAGCTAAAATAATTTATTAAAAAAAAATAATAATGCTTAAAACTTATATTTTTTATATTTAATAAAGTAGTACTTCAGTCCGTAAAACCGCTGCAGTTATAAAAAAAATCAAATAAATATAAAATATACAATATTAAATAAAATTCATTTTTAAGTATACTGTAATCGCAAGTAATCGCACACTAATGGAAAAAAAAAATAATTGAAAAAATAGCAAAACTTATAATTTTGTTTTTAATTTCTTTCTTTTCTACAGTTTGTCAATGTAATGTAAAAAGTAAATAAAAATAAATTAAAACAAAATTGTTAAAAATTATTTAATAAAAACAAAATTGTACCTTTTCGAATTTGCAGTTCAAAATTGCTTAAATTAATTGTACATTAAAAATATGTTGTACATTTGGCAAATCATAAAATGTTAAAAATTATACATTAAAAATTATAACACAGAACTTTTAAATTTCGGAAAATATTGTAATTGCTTTGGACTTAATTAATAAAATTAATATGATATGATTTCAAAAAGTTTATGCATTGTATGAAGATTTTTTTACTAACAAGAGAATCAAGAATTTATTAAGTTATAAGTAATAATGGAAGAATAAATCTATGACAAAAAAATAATGAAAAACACAAAAAATTAAAACAACATTTATTTAAAACGTATTTATAATAAAATGAAAATTTAATTCAATTCAATTGCTTTTGTTTTTATTATACGAGTATCTTTACACAGGTAGAAAATGTATAAACTTTAAGTAAAAATTCTAGTTAGATATGTAATGCTTAAAATTGAAATAATCAATTTTAGATAAATGATATATTATATAGAGCGTTAAGAATTTTTATTAAAAATAGTTACATATATCAATATTAGTAAACAATATGATAGATAATCTTAATATAAGAAATATTTTTCAATATCATTTTGAAATACCTTCTAAAAAAGTAACTTGCGAAGCTTCTAATTTTAGTAATATTATGTTGACAATAGATTGATGATTACAATATAAAAACATGCCATTTTGAAACTTATTTAGCTCTTCTATTTAGCTGAAACACACATTTTCGATAAGATGAAAGGAATAAATTTCAAGTATATTGCAAATTCGTGAAACCGCATTGAGTGAAGGAAGTAAAGAAGAGTAATATCTTCTAGTAACACATTCACGAGTGTTGAAGATTTCTAATTTTTACTTAATCATAAGATCATAAGTTCAATGCATATATGAATGCTATATTAGGCATAATACCTTAGAGCCAAAGACAATCAAAGTTAATTACTCAATACATATTTTTTAAATTTTATTACTATAATTTAGTTTAGGTTTTCTCCTTGTTATATTAGCCTGCGGGATCTATTTGTGTAGACTCTTTTGGATGTGGTAAACAGCACTTGGTCGTCGAATTCAAGGAGTGGCTCCGGGACATAAATCATGCCGTTCTTGGAATCAGTTTTTCTTATTCGTTTGCAATATATGTAAGTAAGAAGCAATAAGTTATTTTTTTACCTTTATATATTGTATATATTTTTCGATATTATATATATTTTTATCTTTGCTTCAGGATCCGCAGTATAATTGAAGCATGTAAACCAATAACAACGAATTTGTTTCGATATATAGCAATTTAACTATTTTATTATTATTACTATTTTAACTATATATTTCATAGTGTTGACAATAAATTCTCCAACAAAAAGATAGAATTGAAGCATTTTCTAACGTATCAAAAATACACATATTCTTTTAAAATAACAGGAAACATAAGATGCCACAAGCGCATATTTATATGCCTGATATCATATTAGAGGCTGGGTAAAATATGTTATTCTACAATTGGCAAAAAGTGTTTTGTTGTTAAGTGTAATATATTATAATTTTAAATCTATATTAATCACTAATCTCCTGTTATAATTCTTCTTATTATTAAAAGAAAAAGATTTATGTTTCTTAAGCTAAAATTTATTTTTAAATTCGTTCAATAAATTAAGTTTTACATTCGAATTTATTTCAATTTAACAAAATATTTTTTTTATTGTATAAATAAATAATATCTATGCCTTGAGCATTCAGTCGAAATGTAAACACAAAATTAATATTTTTAATAGGTTTAAAATACAAATAAATGAACCGCTAAAATTAGACAAATTGTTCTTATAATATTATATCTTAATATAAAAATATTCCCAAAGGTTATACATATTTTTTCTTTGAATTGTTCTATTTTTTATTTTATTTTGCTTAAATTATAATTCTTTTTTAAAGTTATTCTTTGATAAATTTGGCTATGAGTAGATCGCTGAAAAATTTACCTTAATATATATTGTTTATACATATATTTATGAGTTTTACGAGTCTTACGTTAAATGTATAACATAAGATTTTTAACTTAGTTTTTAATTTATTTCTACGTTCTAATTTATAATATTTTTTCATTGATTTATTATATTTCATATAATTTACATTTCAACTTGTGATGAAGTTCTAGGGATATAAATTTAATCTTATAAAATTTTTAGATTAGGAAGTATTTACAAATCTTATATATATATATGTTATTAAATAGTTCACATTTTGTTTTAAAACTTAATGTAAAAATTAAGAATTTAGGGAAAAAAGTTAATTTTTGCAGGCTATGTTATTGTAGCCTTCATTTCATAATCATTATACATTTCAACAAATGTACTAGTAAAAAATGAAAATAATTTTGAAAATTATGTACATTTGTTCTTACACTTGGCAATTATCCATTCATCACTTCCATCACAACAATCACAAACTCCATCGTTCACCCTGCTGCTTGGCACGAAAACATCGAGTCCTCTGCCAGTGATATGACGTTTTTGATACTTGCAATAAAAGCGCCCTGCATTGCAAGCATTTGTACTTGGTTCATCGCTGCCATCTTTCTCACAGTCACAATAATCATCATTTACTCTGTCAAATGGAATATCTATGCTTCCATCAAGACATCTGAATTTTCCTTCAAAATTTGGTTTATACGCGTCATAATCGAAAAGTCGTATACCTCTACATTATATGCATTATTATTATAATTGCGAAAATAGATATTTGCCGCACATACCTTATAATTTTTATTTGATCTGCATCGTCAACAAGATTATGAGAATCAAAGCTATCAGATTCCTTCTTACCTAGTGAAAGAACAAGTTGCTTATGCGTTTTCTTTAAATCTTGCATTGTATTTTCTAAACTCCATGGTGTGCTCGAATTTGGCAATTTATTGATGGTTAACGCTTGGTATGTAAAAAAGATAATACCTAACAAAAAAATTCCTAGTAACAGAAGTTTTGATTTTTGTTTGTAAAACGGCTTGTAATAAATATTTTCGCGTTTTATCCACGTCTTCTTCATGACATTTGTAACAGTTTTGTATCTTAAAGATACAACAATTCTATGATAAATAAATGGCTAAATTCTTGAGTACACAGAAAAGCTATATATTTTATCCTGATAAACTCTATAAAACTAATTAAAATAAATTTAATTTAATTTTGTTTACGCATCCCACAATATACGTAGCTTAACGACCGAATGTCAAATGAAAAGTAATGCCTACTTTTATTGCAGATGGAATAAAAGGGATTTTTAAATTTTCTTGCTGATCAACACTAGAAAAATTATTGTAGAGAAAATAATAATTTAATATAATATAAAATTATTCGCATAATATAAATTTTTAAATTACAGAAACAAATTTCAATTAATTTAAATTTGTATTATTTAGGCCGTGTATGAGTTCGAGTAAACTGATGGTAAATTGAGCGAAATAGTAAATTATGTCGGTATGGCAGCGAATATTGGTATTTACCAGAATATCATGTAGGGTAAATTTGATAAAAATTAGGTGAATTAGGTAAAAATTCTTCAGTGCTGCCAACTTCAAAAATCAATCTATTGTGAATGTGAGTTATCCGTTAAAATCGCATGAATGTGTAGTGGTTTTTTATGTTGGGGTTTATTTCGAATTTAACACTCCGTATTGGTAATGGATAAGTTAATTTAACACTCCGTATTGGTAATGGATAAGTTTATTTATTTCTTATACTTAGTTATTATAAAATATTCTTAAAGTTAAGATTTATGTTTTTACGTCTTATTCACGTGCTGCTTTTTCTTTTTCCAAACTACTACTGGCGGGAACTGCGGCTATTGTTGTCTCCTTTGTGCCTTGTTGACAGTTCTTTTATTTATATTTTTTGGTGCTGCCACAGTACTCCCCCCTAAGTGATGGAGTCACTAAATTTGGTTGGAAAGCGAACGTTGCGTCCTGATTTTGTCAGGTTAGCTGTTGTATTTGGTCGCACAGACTGGTCGCCATTAACGTTGTTTGGATGTGGTATACCATTGATTTGTTGTGGATGTCAATGTCTGTATCGGGACATATGAAAGCAGCTTTAAGACGATCTATGCTAACTGTTTGTTCTTTGTTTTCGATCAGTATTCTAAACGTCTTGTCATTTCGCTCTAGTATTTGGTAAGGACCATCGTAAGGTTGCGTCAATGGTGGTTTTACCTTGTCATTTCGTATAAATACATGCGTGGCTGAGCTTAGAGCCGGTTGGATGTGGTAGCCTCGGTCTATATGATGCGATACCAACGTTGCCTTGACGCTCTGCATTTGTTCTCTTAGCTTGGTTATGAAATCGTGTTGATTTATATTTCTGTGGCTAGGGTTGCTTACTATTTCGCCCGGTAAACGTAGAGTTTGGCCATATAGCATTTCAGCAGCAGAAGCTCCAATGTCTGGTTTAAAAGTCGTGCGTAGACCTAACAATACTATTGGTAAAACTTCTGTCCAAGAAGTTGTTTGGTGGCACATTAAGGCTGCTTTTAATGTGCGGTGAAATCGTTCCACCATTCCGTTACTTTGAGGATGGTAACTCGTAGTTCGTAAGTGTTTGCAACCGATAACTTCAGCTAGTTGGTTGAACAATGAAGATTCAAATTGTCTTCCTTGGTCTGTTGTGATACGTAAGGGTACGCCAAAACGTGCGATCCATTGAGTAATCAGTGCGTTTGCGATGGTTTCCGCTGTTTGATCTGGGATCGGAATTGCTTCTGGCCATCGGCTGAAACGGTCGATGATGGTTAATATATATGTGCAGTTGTTTGATGGTGGTAGCGGGCCGACGATATCTATGTTTATATGTTCGAATCTGTGTTCAGCGAGTTCATATTGACAAATAGGTGAACGGTTGTGACGTTGCACTTTAGAACGTTGGCATGGGATACATTGTCGGGTCCAGTTTCTGATATCAGCATTTATAGAAGGCCAGAAAAATTTTTCAGCTATCATTTTTGTTGTGCCCCGAATGCTGGGATGAGACAACCCATGCGTAGCTTTAAAGATATGTAGCCGGTATTTCTGCGGAATGTAAGGACGAATTCGCCCAGTTGAAACTTCGCAATAAATTTTATCTGATATTGTTGGTAAAGATAAAAGTTTGATTTCGATGGAATTGTTGTTTTTGATATCTTGTAGTTGTGGGCAACATCGTTGTAATCCAATTATACAATCGTAGTCGATTTTTGGGATGCTAATACTATCTATCCGCGAGAGAAAATCTGCTGGGATGTTGTCTTTTCCGCTGACATGAACGATATTCGTTGTAAATTGACCTATATAATCAAGCTGTCGGACTTGACGTGGTGAAGCCTTGTCGGACTTTTGCTGGAATGCGAACGTGAGTGGCTTGTGGTCAGTTATTAATACGAATTCACGACCTTCTAACATATGTCGAAAATGTTTTATGCCCTGATATGCGGCTAACAACTCACGATCGTATGTGCTGTATCGTTTTTGTGTATCTGTTAATCGTTTAGAGAAAAAACCGAGTGGTTGGAACGTGCTGTTTGTCACTTGATGAAGAACTGCGCCGAGAGCTTTATCCGAGGCGTCTACTTGTAATGCAAGCGTAGCAGTTTTTGACGGATGAACAAGTAGTGTCGAGTTTGTTAGTTCATCTTTACATTTTTGGAAGATTGTTTTGTTCACTTCGGTCCAGCATAACGGTGTGTTGTCGTTCTTCTTGTTTCCTTTTATCATTTGTTGTAGTGCAGTTTGAGAATCTACAGCGTTTGGTACGAAC